TGATTGAAACTATTTAGAAAATCATTAATCAACTTCTGATCAGACTGATCAGACAAATTCTATATTGGACTATAATTTCATAATTGGGTCAAAAATCCCTGCCCAAGGAGGACGCCAAAGTAAGCATGACATCAAAATTACGGACTGTCTTTAAACCCTCGTCGACGAACATACATGAATCGTTTCTTCAAACTCATCCTGGCCGCGCACACCGCGATGAAAAAAATATTGTAGAATTCAATTCGGTAATAAAGATGCGTTGCGTTGCGCAGCAGGGCAGGTAGCCCAGCTGACACAAGTTTTAGTTTTCCCTGCCGTCGTGACGGAAGGGAAAGTACAGTCGGCCGCGTTACTCTGGGGAATGTCCCCGGCCTCGGCCTCTCCCCGGCAGAGGTGGGTTGGGTTCCGGTGTGCTGGGAAGGGGGGGGGGCGTGGAAATAGGGCTCACCCAGCCTTCAGCCTCAGGCACGATCGTGTGCATAATGTATTGTTGCTTCCAAAGGTCAGAGGTGTCGCATTGTCACACTTTTAGATTTCAGATGATATTGTGTGGAAGTGTGTTGCTTTCCCCTCTTCTCCGACAAATGCCCATATAAAACGACTGCCACAGGAAGGGAGGTGGCGAGGCTCCCACCCTCTCACCTCTCACCGTGCTCCGTCCTTGTCAGTACAAGCCACAAGCCACAGGGTGAGCCGCGGCCGCGATCCCTACTAGTTACTGTGCACGCCGTGTGCAGCGCTGCGAGCATCCGACCTCTCCCCCCACTCCTCCCTAGAGCACACATTCCTTACAAATTTCAACTTGGCGCCAAACAGTATGCGAAGTATCAAACGATCGGATCTCAAGTTGCAAGAGCCATCCTATCGATGCTGCACGTTTTACAAAATAACGCTTACAGTCAAAATCCCTCGCTCTATCCTGTCTTATTCGTCAAAAAAGTAAAGGAATCGCGACATAAAGAAAACTTGGAGCCGGAATCGAACCTCCGACCGTCTGATTGTGACGCTGATGCGGTACCCCGGAGCTACGGAGGCGCCTAACAGAACAGGTAGGCTGTCGTCAACTCTACTTGAGTGACAAAGCCCCTAGGCCCTTGGTTTCCCCCGGCCGCCCGACCCCCGACCTCGGCGCCGGCCACGGGGCTCAGGAGCCGATCGGCCGCAGCCGGCCGGGGCTCCCGAGCGCCCGTCGGTAGGACTGTGGCCCCTTTAGCCGCTCCTCCTCGCCCTTGTCGTCCCTTCTCCTGTCCAGTCGCAGTTCGCCGAGTACTGAGTGAGTGACATCTGACATCAGTCGCGGTCCATCTGCATCCTCGCACACATCGCTGCCAGCTCAACTGCAAGACTAGCGGCAGGCAAACCACGATCCTGCGCTACACACAAGGTACTGTAT